CAATCACTCACTGATGACTTCAATTGCACCAAACCCATACTGTGTTGAAATAGGGGATAGCATTTTAAGTGGAAAATGTTGATTAAAACCATATGAACACTGGTTAAAGCTATGAAAATGGGAGGTGATGCACATTCACAACAGTTTTAACAAAATTTAAAATGGCAGCTTAATATTTTAATTGCTTCTTCTTTTAGGAACTGCTTGCCAACACAATCAAACTGACTCCACAACGAAGATGCAAGTGGCGTTTCTGATTCAACTGAGGACAGGCTGGATTTCGTATACCTGGTGGAAATTTCAAGAGGCTCATGCTGTATTTTGGTTTTGCAGTCCTAGTGTGTGTGTATATATATATATATATATTTTTAAAGCATTACTTGGTTTGAATCTTCAAAGAAGTTCTGGAGCATCAAATGGAAATTATTCACATTTTTAAGTGCAGGCCACAGAAGCACCATTTGGTGAGATAAATCTGTGAGAAATTTCCAAATACGAATCACATATGTGGAGAAGAATCTGGCTCACAGACTTCCTTTAACTAAATGCCTGTCTAATAAAATAGCATCATAGCATACAGATGACTGGTCAAGGAGCTGGGGCAATCCACTGTAAGTTCTGGAACTCATTAAATGCAGTTCTTTACGAGAATTTCTTGCATTTTTATGCTGCCCGAACAAGGAGCACCAAAAATCAGTCACTAAAGGATCTATAATTTACACGTTTTGAAATACTATCTAACAAAAGATATTCACGCGTGGAGGCCCCAGAGTCGCCCTGAGTGGCTTGAAGATTTCTGTTTCTGTATTTGGTTTGTCTTCCACCCAAGGCTTTAAGATATCATTGCACAGGAGCAGCCGCGATCTGAAGACTTGGCTTCCTTATTGATGCAGGCGACCCCTACACTAGCTGTTGCCTTAGAAAAAACTGGCTCTGACAGGTCTTGGGAAACCCTTTGGAAGTCTGAAAGAATTCACAGGTCTCTAATCTCTGCTGCCTATTGGTCACACCCAACCCCATCTCTGATCTTCCTGCACTTAGTTCAACTTCAGGCATGTGCCTGCCCTTCTTATACCACACAGTGAGATTCCAGAGGCCTGGGAAGGACTTGGGGGCCAGAGTCTCACAGCAGGCAGAAGGCATGGAAGGTACGGGGCGCTGGGGGTGGCATGCAGCCTGCTGGCTTTCTCTGACCTCCTCACCTCAGTGGACTGGCTCTACCTTCAGACTCTAAGAATGTTTAGGTTTACTCACTCAGCAGCTCTCTTTACTAGTGCAGCGAAAGCTCTCCCAGAGGCAATGACTGAATATTCCCAGCACGTCAGAATACGTGGCTTTTGAAAAAACGACACACCTTTCCCCACCCCCACCCCCCCTTTCTTTTAAGCACTGTTAAGCACACCAGAATTGCCACTCTCACAACGACTGACTGAGAAGCAGAAACTGAGTTGCCTGGCTGGTACAAAACCAAAGCAGAGAAAAACTCTACCAGTGACCCTAAAAGCGGAAAATCTCGTCAATATAGAACTGGGTACATCACCGTTGATCAGTTGCTTTTGAAACACTTTGGATAAAAAATCATCTCTTCGGGGAAAAAGCAAAACAAAATAATTACTGGACTATGTTTTGCTTTGGGGGTTTACATCTGGTGATTCACATTCTAAGCCAGCTAAGTTAATACCTTCTGCTCATTCATATTTCATGATCAGACTGCTGTATGATTAGAGGTAAAAAGAAAACTCATTTGAACACACCACCTTCACAAATAAACCAGATTCCACATGGGACTCTGCTTAACTCACGTTTGACTACTGTTTCATATAGCAAATTGACACCTTTCTCTAAGCTCAAAACAGAATAGGCGAAAATGGGCTATAACTGCAAAAACCCCACAATATAAAAAGCAGTAGTTCTTCCTACCTAATATGGACTGTAATAACCTAAGTCTACATGATTCCTGATCTCCATATGATTTTAATTATTAATCCATACAAGAGTCTCAAAATATAAAATACTGAACCCAAAAGGTCCTAGTGCATCAAGCTGTCACATAGAGTAAAACACTGAAGCCCAGAGACCAAGGTTCTGGTTTTAGATTTGTCATGCAACAGCTGTAGGACTATGGGAAGTCTCTTCCCTTCGTCAGAACAAGGTTTCTCATCCATAAATAAAGGTTTAACCTAGGTGACCTCCAAGGTCCCTTTCTGGCTTCAAAATTCTGTGACTCTGTTAAACATGTAAATCTAAATAAAGCAAAAGATGAATACGCTACTTCAGTGAACATCTTTCAAGCTATCCGATAATCAACTTGATTCATCAACCACACACTGAATCAAATGATTAGCAAGATAAAGCAAAAGTGTGCGTAAAAATGGAGTAAGTTTTCAGAATCTTTAAAATCAACTTCTCGACATTCATGTGGACAGAGAGTCACGTGTGAACCACAGGGTCTGTCAATATTTCTGCTTATTCAACACTGTGGCCAAATTCTACTCAGTTTCCCTAAACTTGCTTAGCTCTTCCCCATGACAAAGCCACACGATGAGTTTTAATAAGGCCACTCGCGTGGCGGCACGTTAGGGCTGTATCATCACTACAACTCTTTTCAATAATTTTGTAGTTACTTAGGATCTAAAATTTTTATTCTACAATTTATCTTTTTTAAAAAAAAGTACCAAAGACTAAAAAGTACCAAAGAGCAGGCATGAAGAAAAGCATTTCATTGGTGATGCTTTTCTTATTCGGCAAGCAAGCCAACATTTCAGCTGACACTTCCATCGCATTCCGCTAGATTCTAGAAGGCAATAGTGTCTGGCTCAGAAATGACCCTGGCAGCCTAGCAGAGCCATCTGGGGACCCCAAGGGGCCCTCCAGACCAATTTGATCCAAATTTCTAGGGTCAGGGCTCAGGTAATACCGATTTTTTAAATGTCCCAGGTGATTCCAAAGTGCAGCTAAGGCTGAGAAGCAATGCAAGTTCAAACCAGGCTTTTCCATCTGAAATGCAGAAATGCTGGGTGAAAGGCACTGGTGTAGGTGGTAAGATTTAAAAAGAAACCAAACCTCTCACTACTTCTACTTTCTTTTTTCCTGCACAGAGAAGCAGCCAGAAGACACTGTTCCTGAGCGTGTGAACATTAAGAACGTGCGTAAAAACCCACCAAGGGCAACGAGACTGGGAAACAGCCCTTCTCGGTACTGTGCACTACTCAAGGGCTAAACCTTGAGTTTGCTAACCTCCTGGCGCCAACAGTACCTATCCTGCGAGGTCTTACTTTTCCCTGCATCGTTACTCAGCAGCATCTCTGTGTTTCACCAAGAGGCTCTGACGGCCAGAGCTCTTCAACACCTTCTTCAACCATAACTAACGTTTGACCCATGAAAGCAAACCCAAACCAAACCAGCAATCTCATATCGATTCCAGTTCATGAAGATTTATATCATTTCATAGGAAGTCTGCAAAGAATCATCCCAAATGCTTCCAATTAAAATATTCACTAGTCTTATTAACTAATATTTCAACAACACTTCATTTCAACTAGCAACCAACTGACATCTGGCCTTGAGTTTTGTCAATTCCTCGCTTTATGAGGCACGGCAAAGCAGCCCTCCTTTTAAAGAAGGGGTTTAAAGTAAAACCCACACCTTTCCTGGGATCTCAGTGATACTTTCGTCCCAATAATCAACCAGATGGGAGGGTGATCTGTGTACGCAACTGAAGATACACAGAAAATTTCCACGTAAATACAACACACTATACACATGATCAGATTCATAATAAAGGATGTCTTCCTACCCTTCAGCCAGAAAGAGAAACAAGCTCTTGGTAACTTGTCATGATGTGTGAAATTCTGTCCTTCTGAAAGATCTGAGAAGCCAGGCGTGCCCTACCCAAGCATGTGCCTGCCCCAAAACCTCCTCTAGCAAAGGTCGATTAGAAATTAACAAGTCACTAGGACAGAGCATCTCCAGGGAAACCCTGGACGCATAACTCCAGGTTTCCAGCCCTTGAAGACCCGCCCTCTGGTCTCCTCACTCATACTCCTCTCCGTCCTCATTCAAAGGCAGGCCACCCAAGGACTTCTTTCTCCTCACGCCGGAGGGGGAACTCAGCACAGCTGGATTACCAAACACGAGGGGCTGGCACAGAGGGCTGGCCAGTTCAGAGTCTGAATCGCTGGATTCAGTCCCACTGCTGGTAGAGCCCTCGGTCATTTGCAGGGGTGCCAGCTGGGCTGCCTTGCCAGGGGCACACGCTGACTGCGCCATGGGGATCCCTGAGGTCGAACCCACGAGAGGTGTACCATTAGCCAGCGTCCTACCTTCCGAAGCGGCCGGGCCGGCCAGGCCTCCCTTTCCATGGCCATCAAACCTATCCACTGCCTTCGGGCTTGATGCTACCTGGCTAAGAATGAGTGGATCTGTCTCTGACTTATTATATCTCAGATGCCTTAAGTGGGGCCTTTGTAAGACGGGGGAACCGTCTTCATCACGAGGACCCTGGCTTGGGAGAGGATCTCCTCCCACACTTCTCTCTCTATAGTCATGTGCGTTTTCGGAAACATAGCCTTGGGACCCGGTCCTGTCCCAACTCATACTTGGACTTGAACTTCCGCTGCTGGGAGACAAGGGGGTGGCCAGGGGACTGTGACCGCCTGAGGCCCTGAACATCTCATCTATCAGAGAGCTATGTCTTGGGAGTCTGGGGCTCCCACTCATGTCAAAGGTGATGTCTGCTGAATCATCATCACGGAATTCTCTGGAAGGAGGCCGGGAGGACTTCGCAGAGTGAAGGGAAGCCCTGCGCCTAGCCTCTATTTGCCTCTCATCCCTGGACAGCAGATAAACACCACTGGTCAAATCACCCTCATAGTTGTCATTTGTTTGGGACCGTGACCGGGACGCTTGTTCCCTGAGGAGGTCGTATTCACTGTCTACATCACTGCAGTCAATGAAAGGAATGGAAGTGCTGCTGCCTTGGGCAGCCCTGGATGCTGGACCTGTGCTTGGCTGCGGGGGCCGAGGTCTACTCTGCTGGGTCCTGTCCTTAACGACCTCCTCCTCTTCCTCCGTCTCCGCCCTGCCGGCCCCGTCTGCCTTCGTGCTCCCAGCCGGGCTCCTCTGCGGAGTGGGGTTGCGCTGTGGCCCGCGCTCATCGGCCGAAGCGGGCGGGTCCCTTCCCGGCTGGCAGCTCTGGCCGCCCGGGGATGCGGCACCTTCTCCGAAGGTAAGGCTGGCACTCTGCTGAGCCTGGGGGGGGGGCGGGGGGGGCGCAAGAGAAGGGGGAGGGAGATGAAGAGAAAAGGGAGAGGTTACACCACGGATGAAAGAGACAGAGACGCGGAGTCCAACTTAACGGCATCTCCTGAAGCATCGAGTGGCCAAGGATTGCCAAAGAAAGCCTGCCCTCCCCGGTCTTAGAACAAAGCACCCTGTCAGGAATCGGGCATTCCCGAGGCTGTCTGGTCAGGATCCAGAACGTTCTCTCAGGGTGTGGAAGCCGACAGTGCGGGGTCCCCAGCAGCATAGGTGAGGCAGTGCCTCTGCTTTCCAGGACCGGCAGTCTCCTCTTGGGCGTCCCAAGTTTCTATGGAAGAAGACGGTCCTTCCGGCCCACAGGGGACTGACTTCCTGAGGGGGTGGGGGCAGGCGGAGGAGGAAAGGCACCGTGGACCTCCAAAGGCGAGCTGACACGGATTTCAGACAAATGACAAAAACGTCTTTGTTTCGATGCCTAAGGGCAGGACGGGCAGCTTACAGGCTCTCTGGATTCGCACAGTGAGACTGCCTTCATGTTCTTTCCCAACAAAGTTCTTATTCTCTTGTAGAGGAAACCCTGAAAGCTCATCCAGAGACCAACTCCAGGGAAAACGAGCTCTGGCCACCCTCAGAGCAAGAGTGGTGATGTGTCTTGTTGCCAACTGTGGTCGCTGCTCTGTAACATGAGCCCTGGGAACGCACCGTCCGGTCCTGCGCCAGTGCAAGGTTCTGACCTTGACAGCCAAGGGGAGCTACACCCGTCACACACACACACACACACACACACACACACACACACACACACACCCCCGCCGAGCTAAATCCCGATCTATTCACACAAGCGCAGCCGTTTAGCTGGAGGGTGGGCTCAGCTCTGGCCCTGGATGGTTCCAGCCCTAAGCTGAGTTCAGGCCAATAGAGCAAACTTCCCTGGGGCCAGGGCATGGGAGGGAGGAGGGGAAAGGATACAGGCCAGGGTGAGAAGCACAGAGCCCGTGTCTGGTCAGAGCCAGGGCACACGGCTAGACCCTCCTCTAGAAAACACCCCGAAGTGGAACGATGAAGAACAACAAAGCAGACTAGGAAAGCCAGTCCTCAGCAGAGGACGTCTGGTGGAAAACAGAGCTATAATAGTGACTATCACCATCACTGACTTGTTTTGGCACTTCTGAATTCGGCTCTGCAGGCTGTGTAGCAAGGCTTCTGATGGAATGAATCTTGCTGTGTTTCCTGGGAGAAATCACACAAGAGAACTAAAGTTAGGTGAATTGGTTTTTTTTAATTGGTTTCACATGAAAAATAACGGCATTAGGCATTCCCTCAGGAGTGAAGGCACCCGAAGGAGTTTGGATAAATGCTCCCTGGAGACAGACCCAGTCACCCTTTCTGTATCACTTGTAGGATTCGGGGGTTGCTTCAGCCTTGAAAACGTTCTCAGCATTCCCAGCTCCCACTGCAGTGGTCCAGCCGGTTGGGAGTACTACCACTGAACGCTAACTCTCTAGTTACGGGAAATGTCATTGGGAGGGAGAAGCTGGCTAGGCCCGAGCACGCTCTGAATTGCAAGCCCTGGCCTAACAATATGAAATCAATTTGTGTGTTCTGGGTAATGATTTTCTAGATCAGTTCTATAACAGAGGCCTCTGCCACTAATGAGCTACTCCTTCACAGCGCTCAGTTCAGAGAAAAGGCCCTGCCCCAGGAATGAATTTATAGACTCCACAGTAGAAGAAACTGGTTTTTAATGCCACCAACACCCTCCCTTTAATCTTTTCCTTCCCTTAGTGTGTCGGTCCCCAACTTCCCAGGGGACAAGCATGAGAAACTTTTCAGGTACTCAAACACATGAAACTGCATAAATATAGAGATTAAATTCCAATATCCATCCAGCTTTTCTTTAAAGTACTCCAAATTAACACACCAAGGCTCCGGAGCACGCACATTCTGAGTCAGAGAGAGGCAGACCCCTTCTTATACGATCTTCAAAAGATTAATTGTGGATCGTCCGAGAAAATGATGGGGTTTGCTTTGCTACATCTAGATAAGCATGCAGATAACCTTCTGAACGTTACACTTCTATGTACAGGGAGGGAAAAACGACCCCAGATCTCCAAAAGCAAAACAAAACACCAAACAGCCTGCATGTTTCTCAACAGGGAATCAGATACCGGAAAGGTAATACTTTCACAATACCATAAAATGCTTAAGATAGATCTCAAAATCAGGGTAGCTTTAAAAAGCAAGATGCATGATTACGTACAATGTAATACTGATTATATAAATGAAAAAGGACGCCCCCAGAGCAATTCTGCCTGTTCTTTTTGGGTGCATGAATATTTCTAATAGAAGTAACAGGAATTAGGTAGTTGTTGCCTCTGGGGAGGGAAGGAGGGAAGTAATGAAGGCTGTTGGTTAAAGGGGGTTTTCACTATATCTGTAACCACAATACCTGCAAATAAGGGAAGAAGAAATAAAATCCTAGAAGCCAACGTTAAAATGTGGCTAGTTAATTCTAAGTACTAGGAACATGGGTGTCTGCTGTATCCTCTGTGCTTTATTGTAATTTTTAAATGTGTTAAACTGAAAAAAGAAAACCATTGAAACAAACACTTGCAACTGAACAGTCATTGGCGCACCATCCCTTCACCCCTGTACCCTTTTCTTTTAGTCCCTCTGGGCAGAGCAGTGCTGCAGGGCAATGAGCTCTGCAGTTGGATGACCAGGGCCCACTTACCAGCTCTGAGACCTGGGCGAGTTACTCAACATCTTTGAGCTGCCATGTCTCCATCTTTAAAAAGGAAATAAAATAGCACGGACCTCACAGAGCAGGTATGAAGACTCCATGAGTTCCTATGTCTAAAGGGCTTGGAACAGTGCCTGGCATACAATAAGAGCTATCAGCGTTTGCTAACAACAACAATAAATCCTGTTTCTCTTCAATCAAACGTTACTGAATTAAAAAGTTTATAGAACTCTCCTCAGTACTCTGTAATGACCTATATGGGAATAGAATCTAAAAAGAGTGGATGTATGTATAACTGATTCACTTTGCTGTACACCTGAAACTAACACAACATTGTAAATCAACTACACTCCAATAAAAATTAATTTTAAAAAAAACCTAAAGAAAAGGGTTTGCAATTTTTCCAATTCCAAAAAAAAAAGTTTATAGAAATACTTCCAATTCAAATCCCCAAATATTTAAGGACTCACCGGTGAGTAGGTGTTTACAGCGCTTTACCCGCTCTGTCAGCTCATGTTCCTCTTGCATCCCTGCCCTCTGCTGGCTTCCTTTCACCCTGGAGTTAAGTGTCCCCCGGGCCTCAGCTGTTCCTAACACTGAACCGGCCGAGACTGACCGGGCGGCAGCGATTCTCTAGCTCACCGGGCCTGGGGGCAGCGATGCTTAGCCGCTTTGAGCACCACTGCCTGCAGAGAACGACTCCTCTCAAATCGCAAGTGGCACTGACGCTTCCCTTACCTTTCAAACTGCACCTTCTTATGTCCTCCTTCTTTAACATAGTCGAGAACCTGCTTCTGAGTCCGGCCACTAAAATGAAGACCACGAGAGGGGGCGGAGAAGACAGCAAGGCGTTCTCATTTCACACTCAGCACAGCCCTCCACCATCTTGCCTCCCTCCCACAGTTGGGAGACACGGGAGTTTTCTCGGCTAGCCCGGGATGAAAGCAGTCCCAAGAGAAACTGTGCTTTTGCGTCCATTCTGTCTCTTGATATTTCCCTTATACACGACAGAAAAAGTTCAATGAACTCAACAACTTAACAATTCCGTGTTTGATTATTAAGCAACCATCCCGAGAGCCTGTACACTTCATGAAGGCAGGGATAGCTCTGTTCACAGTGTACCCCCAACACCTAGAGCAGAATCTGACATGCAGTAGACACTCGAAGATTGGTTGAAAGAATGAGTGAGAAATTGAACCAGTGATGGGCAGGTCTACATAGCATTCGGTGAAGCTACAACAAGTGTTAACAAGGTGCTTTTGCTTCTACAGAGAAAGGAAATCCTTTCTGAATTAGAAGAGTTCCTCTAGGCATTGTCGGTGGCTGGGGAGACTGCCTAGTGGCTACCTAACGTTCAAACCGAACACAGCAAGGGGCTGCCAGGAGCCTTCTGCGATGACCCAGCAAACACGCCATCAGCCAAAGCTCTTGGAAGCCAACTTTCCCGAGGAAAGTCTTGGGGAAAATGACCACATGGCAAACGGAGAGATGTGAAGCAGAATCCTTACCTGAACCGAAACGATGACCCTCGGCTAAACAGAACAGGCTTTGGCTTTGGTTTGGGCTCTTCAAAAAGTCTAAAAAAGGCATGATGTTCAACACAGATTTTCCAGAAGGATTTGCAAAAGTCCCGACTGGCCATTAGGAATTCCAAGGTATCCTGGTATGAGCTCTAGAAAGAGAAAATAACACTTTGGTTTTTTCCATTACCCAGAGACATTCAGTTACAATACGGGAAAGGGGGCAGAAAACAAATTTGTCCAATAAAACTTCAATTGTGTATTTTATTATAGCATGACCATAAATCCACATATTTAGTAAAATACATTTGTTCCTCATGACGAAATATAGTCATCATCGTTCAACCATTTTCTTCCCCACTTAATTCCTTAGAGGAACACACAGAAAATGGGGATACTCAGCAGAAGTTGTAACATTCCCTTTGACAGAAATCATAGACAAATGCTGTTTACTTGGCTTACATTTCCTTCGTTAAAAGAATATCCAAGCACTGAAATGCCTTTTCTGCCTCCTTAAAATAACTGAAACACATTTCTTCTTTCTGGTTTCTCCCCCACGGTTCATGCCAACTTTGAATATTGTGCTTAAGCCTTTTCTCCATCAGAAAGCATATGGCTCCAGCCTCCAGGTGGCCCCAGGGACCATACAGGAAATGAACATTTTTTCTGGAGCACTGAAGTATCACCCAAGGCTGAAAAATTCATGTCCTTTGATTTGGGAAAGGGGATATGGTAATTTTCTACTTATAGACTGAATGCTCTCAATTTAAGTGACTGTATTATATAAACAAATGTTACCACAGCCCTTAACATTCTCAGCGGTTCCAGCCATTTTGGGAGAATCTCACAGTTCTCGGTAGTGCAGCCTCAACTTACAGACAAGTCGTGCAGCAGTACCCAGTCTTTTGGACTTAAAACACGTCTTCTCATAGAAAACAACTTCCAGTGGGTGCCTGTTTCCCAAATCAGGCCATAAAAACCTATTTCATCCATAATGTAACCAAATTACTATAAACCTAGACTGCCATTTATAATCTTTTTTTACCCCCATGGGAGAAAGCAGTCCAGTTCTGGTTGGGGACATCAGCACCCTGGCGCCCATCCATCCCTAGTTTTATGGCGGATGGAGAAAACGCTTTCTTCCTTCTCTGACCTGGCGCCACATAAGCGACATCTTTAGAGGGAGGGTCTTCGGGAAGTGTGCTAGGGGAGGGGCCGGGTCAGCTCGTGAGAGTGCGCCGTCAGGGGCTGGGGACTACAGCAGGACCGCCCCTGGGTGGGGAGGGACAGACCTGGAGCACGGCAGGATGCTGACCGGGCTGTCGAGGTGGCCGAGGCTGGAGACACGGCGGCTGCACAGGAGGGGGCGGCCCGTAGGTGCACAGCGAAGTGACCCCTCCCTAGGCACACATCTGTGCCCTCTGTCCATTGCTGAGGACAGCTGCGGAGGGACCGAGCGTCTGGATACACAGTACAGACTGGCAGACACCTGGAGAGCTGCCGGCCGTGGGTTCCACCTGCACCCTAGCGGGACCCGCCCCGCCCCGAGGGGGCTCACTGGTCTCCCCCTCTTTTCCGAGAGGCACTTACGTTCGCATCTGGGCGGAGCTTGATGAGAAAGCGCTTCCTCTTGAAGCTCAGCTTCCGCACCTTTGCCCAGTTGAAGGCATTGATCTTCGTAAAACCCTGAGAACAAAGGTATCGGCCAGTGAGCCGGGAAATGAATGACAAGCAACATGCAAGTCGGTTTGCTCTGCTCACGGGGAGCTGAAAGGAGGGCTGACGTTATCCCGCTCCTAAGAATGCCTCTTGCTGTTGAATTCCCGGGCTCTGCGACTGAGGGATGACCCCCATTCCCTTCCTGGATCATTGTTTCTCACTAATTACATGATCTGGCCTTCAAATTAAGTCTGCCTCCAGGGAGAGAAGAGGCTGGCCGAGGGGCTGATACAGAGAAATATAAATAAAAATAAACACCATGACAACCACCACAACTACTGGCGACCATCACGGGCCGAGTGCCAGGCACTGTCCCAAGTCCTCTACAGCCCTTATCTTGTGAAGCCTTACACGGAACCCAGGGAGCTGGATTTATTATCTTCATTCCACACCTGTGGAAACTGCAGCATGGCTAGATTTTAATTTGCCCGAAATCACATGGTTACCTCAGCAGAATGAGATTCCCGGGCATGTGCCTTAACCAGCAGCTGTTGTTATAGCCACAGAAGCAACACAGCGGTTAGCGATCACCTGCTCTGTCCACACTGCTCTGCTTCCAACAGCACAAGCAGGGCCGGGGAGGGGAGACCCCACCCTCCGTGTGTCTCTGAGGCCAGAGAACAGTCTCCGGGAGGGACGCACACATCTTCATCTTTGATCGCCAGGTGGGAGTGGGGGAGACACAGTGGGGAGTCGCCAGATACCAGCTCCTATCTGTGCCGTCCTCTCAAATGAAATTAGAATTCCTCGAGCCCGTTTGAACACCAGAACCATTCGTTTAAATTGGTTAGAATGAAGCAATTAGGCACAGGCAAGAAGATTAATTTCAAGATACTGTCCTTGTATATGATGACATTACGGAACAATTCTCAACACTTCAAGTGTCTCAAACACAATCCAAGCAAATTAATTCAATTGTGAGGCACCTCTTCCCCCGACTACGATCTTTAGAAATGTTTAAGGGTTTTAACTTTGAAGTGGAATGGTAGGACTGACAACCACATTGTTTCACTGTTGTTTTTCTCATCAGGGACGCCTAGATTATTTCTGCAGGTCAGTGGGTATTAGGGACAGTCACCTCCTCAAATACCATGCTGCTCACAAAATGTCACTTCCTAGTGTCCCATAGGAAACCCAACTTCAACTTCTCTTGGGACACGAACCCTTTGGTAATTACTGTCCGTCATAAACATCTGATACAGGAGCAAAGAATCACTGGGGTTACTTTGGTAAAATATGAAGGGGGAAATGTAACCCAATCTGGCAAAGCTCAAAAAAAGAGTTTTAGGTCATGTACCTATTTACACCTTCAAAACTGGGTGAAATCTGACCCTATTTCATGAGATGACATAGGGTCAGATGCTTTCTTCATACCCCTTTGAAACCAAAGCACTTTTGTTTAAAAGAGAAAGCCTTGAGGGATATATTGTACAGCACAAGGAATCTAGGCAATATATATATATATTCTTTTTTAAATTAGGTATCATTTTTTTTAATTGAAGTATAGTTGATTTACAACACTGGGTAAGTTTCAGGTGTACAGCAAAATGATTCTGTTATATATATTTTTATATATATATATGTAAACATCTATAGTCTTTAAAAAATTCTTTTCCATTATAGTTTATTACTAGGCAATATTTTATAACAACTTTAAATGGAGTATAACCTATAAACTATTCAATCACTATGTCATGTACCTGAAACTAATATAATATTGTGAACCAACGACTTCAATATAAAAAGAAAAAGAAAAAAGTCTTGAGGAAACCTTTGGGGTGATGAATATGTTCACTGTCTTGATTTCACTGATGGTTTCACAGGATATACATATTTAAGAACTTATACATATTTAAGAACAGCATGCTTTAAATGTGTGCACTTAATTGCATGTCAGTAATACTTCAATGAAATTGTCAAGAAAAAGAGATGCATCAATCAATGGCAGTACAGCGGCAGTGTGATCAAGGGTGCACACACTTCAGAGTGCTATGTCCTTATGTAAAACACAGGTAAGGGTCCAAAAGCAGTATGTGCGTAGCTGCAAAATTACAGCAGGACATGGACATAGCTTCTGTGAATTTATAAAACTGCTACATCTTCTAAGTTAGGTAAATGTGAAACCACAAACAAGCTAACTTAGGTAAAACCCAAATCAGGTTAAAAAAAAAAAAAAAGAACCCAAATTAGGTTAAAAAAAAGTCAGATGACTATCATGGGCAACTGTGAAAAAGGTGTTTATATTGGGGATCTGAAATCTTGATTCCATTATACTATGTTCAAAGTTAGGTCAACAGAGAGATCGGGATTTCTATGATCCTACAAAGGCAATACCTGCAAACAAACCTGCAGTCTTGGATTCCCCAACCAGAGCAAAGCAAAGGAAATGAAATCTGCAAGTCTGAGGGTCTGGACAGAAACAGGAAACCCTGAGATGAGGTTTGTTTTTCCCTGTTCACCTAAAAATAACTCTCAGAGGTCTTAGCCTGGACCACCCAACTTGGAATCAGAGTTGAAGGGCCAACTCTTATCTCTGCAACACCAGGGGAACCGAGCTGGTTCTAAACGCTCTTACCTGAAACACTAGAATCCCTGTGTTGGCCACAGCCAGGTTGATCTTAGTGCCTTCCCGGTCCTTAGCTGGGTGCAATCGGACGCCGTACATCTCCAGCCTGCGGGCAATCTCCAGGAGCTGGAAATCCGATTCTGCGGGTGTTTGTCCACTGACAAAACAAAAATTCAAGAGAAAGGCCAGGAGATTTGAATTCTCCGTGTCTATGAATTCAAGATTAAGCATCTTCTCTTCGGAAAGAAAAAGGCATTTCATCACCAACAATGGGGCTACCCGATCGGATGACACCCGGCCTCCCATTCATTATAATCCGAAGTTGAGCAACTGGAACAAAAGCTCTATTGCTTGTGTAACACAAAACCCCCAAAAGTCTATCTCAAACTCGGCCAGTTTTTTGGAATCTCAAAGAGTTTCCTTTAAGGTCATATAAAAGCAAAACACGACCATGTTGAAACAAGTTTCCAGTCACTTACAATAGCCCTAAACTTGCAAAGTTCAACACTGTCAAGGCCACTATCACCAAGACTCAAGTGCCTTCCTTGAAAGACAACAACGAAAACAAAAGGAGCAGAGAAGGCTTTGAAAATATTTTATTCATCAAAACAGAAAACCAGAATGGACATGGCGCAAAGGTTCTCCCTTTTCCCAATATTCTTATACTGTCCCTAGTTATCATGTCCTCTTCCTGATTTCCTGGTACTTGGTCTTATACTCTTCCTTTTACTCCAAAGCACGGGGTGTCCTAAATTCCAGTGTTACTCTGGTCTCACAGGAAAGCAAGCAAGGAGCCCAGAGGTCTGGTCTTGAGTGGGTAACCTGTGTTACCAATAGTCCAGGATAAGAAACAACACTCACTGAGCCTCTGCGCTCTCTTCCCTCACCCTTTGTATATTTCTTCCCAATAAGTCACGTGTGTGTGTGTGTGTGTGTGTGTGTGTGTGTATCCACGTATGTCGAAGGACAGAGAGAAGGAGCTCAAAGCAAGTAGGAAGCAACAAAGGAGACTTACATGTGGTTATGGTGAAATTCCACAATTTTGTCTTCTAGTGCATCTTGCTGAGGTATGTACTTATTTTTTGCTAAATGCTCTCTGTCCGATGCTTCATCAAAATCCCCAATCTCAGCTACAGAGAAAGAGAGAAAGAAAAACCAGCCACATATGATTAATACGTCACAATTTGTTATACTCCCAGCAGACTGTTCCCCAACTAGCAAACCGGAAAAACTAGCAGGCAACACAAGGCAATCCCAGCTGGTAGGTATCTAGATGTGAGAAGCGGTGGCTGTAAGGGCATATTTAACAATCGTGCCAACGTAAGATGACAGTTTCCGCTTTTTCTCATCTCTACCAGTTGGAAAGAAAACTTCAGAATCATCCATCTTTAGCCATCCGTGTTCCTGGTTTGTTTCTTTCCTCCCCACCCCAACTAGGGGTTCACTTCTACTTCAGGCAGTACATTCCAGTTATGTGGATTAAGGCCTTCTGACGTCTATATAAGCCCCAGAATTTCAGGGCTTGACAAAATCAACTTTGGAGACACACGTATAGCAATTATTAGTGCAAATCCCAAATGCTTTATCATGTAGAGAAAAGACGATTATAACTAGGGGTAAACGTACATAATCTAATTTGGTAAACATAAATTCAAGTGTCTTAAATTTTGTGTAGTTGTGTTGTCAGAAATGACAGATCAGATCGCAAATTCTCACAAATTTTTAGTCTACAAGGAAGTGAATGCATAATTTTCTCAAGTCCCCAAATTGCTCTAATCTGGAAAACTAAAGGATAGAGCTTTAAATGAATAATTGTACCTTAACACTAGCTCCAGCTCAGTTTACAGCAATTTAATACAGATGGAACAGCATGCCTTTATCATATATTCTGTGTAACAAGCTTAATAAAACGACCAGAGTCCAACTGTTTACAATAAAAGTAAGTAAACCGTTGCCATGAAGCCTAATTTTCACTTTGTCACGTGAAGCAGCTTGTCACACTCTGGGCAATGCACCCCAGTAATCATGCAGGATGTGGCCTATGTGTTGCTATAAATCACAGCCACTGAGAATATTTGCTTGGCACCAGCTGGGCCATTGGAAGAATCAGTCACCCACTAGCTTCTCACTGCCTTGGCAAATCAATAACATTATTTCCTAGTTGCACTTTGTGAACAAATTTCACCTTCCCTGAGTAAAGCTGCCACCCTCCATCACAGGAAACTGTGCAGGAGTGGCCATACTGCCATCCTCCTCACTGGTTTGCCACGGCGATGGTGACACTGTCTTTTCTGCACTTCCTCCTATCTGGCCTCAAGCAAGCACAGTTCATCTCATTATTCACGGTAGTGCTGTTGCATCAAGTCCCCACGCACGTCGAATTAGTGAAGACTAAACCATCATTCCCAGGGGAAATACAGGGTTAGGTTCCTGCGAGACCCTTGAAACATTTTCACCAACTCACCTTGTTTTCTGTTGAAAGACATCCTACTTTATGTACCTTGTTGGTTCGTTAACACTGGACCCACGGCCAGCAGCACGTAACTCACGTCTGAACAAAGCTTATCTACACCCGTAAACACCTGTGTTTACTTTCTCCGTGAGGCACATCGAAACCTTCCTGCACTCAGGAACACTACATAGCACTTCAGCAACGATGCTTGGGGGCCATTTAAAACAGGGAAATCAATGGAAAGCACAGAAATGCAAAAGGCGTGGCTCCAAAGAGATCACAAAAAGGACACTTGTTTCCAGTATGACAGCTGAAACCAGAAGGCAGAGAGCATCACCTCCTCCGACCTCCACTGGGGAGGTGAGGGAGGGGCGACTCCAATTTTTTTACCCTCTTGCGCATGTCTGCGAGTAACCGTGAAAGCACTCACAGTGTTGATTCTGAGCTTACAAATAAATTTCACAGAGCAGGTGAATTTGCAAACATGACATCTGCAGATAATGAAGACGGACTGCGTATGTGGGAGGGAGAGGGGACTCACCTAAATCCTAAATTTCTTACGAGTTTTAAGTTTGGGTTTCTTAACATATATGGATTTTATAACAGAGCCTTTTCCATAATTCAACATGAACGAGCTAAGAATTCCAGTTTTTCCTTTGGCATCAGGGTCAATATGCCTAAACTGTCTTTTCCTCGGAGTCGCTTGCTTTTCAACTCCCAAAATGCAAGGGCAACACGACTGTGAAATCCACTTTCTCCCACATGCTCTCTTCTTGGAAACATGGAAGTAGGCACCTCCTTATGTCTGGGGAGTCTGAGAACTGTAATGTACAAGATATGACTATTTTTAATTAAAGGTGTCGTGTTAGCTGAGGTATGCACTAAATTCCTTAGCAGTCTACTCTTGGCAAAAAAATAAGACCACCACCACCCCCAAATCCTGTGAGAAGTCTCATGAGGATGTGTTTGCACAAACTCGTTCTGCCAGGTACAATCCTCAGAATGGACGCACACACAGCCTGCAGAAATCTAGCCCCACCATGCCTCCTCTGTTACGTCAGGTCCAAATAGTGTTTGATTCTTCTCTTCACCAGCTTGTCCCACTTGGTCTATTCATAATCAACTAGAGAGTATTAAAAGTCTGAAATATATACAGGGGATACCTAAGGCCAGTAACAGAGGAACCGACGAAAACAATTACAGACTATGTGAAACATGACTCCATGAATTCAAATGAAAGGGAGGAAAATTTTTTTAAAAATCAGATTGCGTGTATAGATACAGAGGAGATGAAAATATAGCTCACTAGAGATAATTTTCCATCAGCATTAACATCGCTTCTGCAGAAGGGAGATGAGTTGACCTCTTCTACCTTACTGATGCCGTCAATAACTACCAATAATTTAAATGAACACACTATTCACAGAGGACTCTGAAATTTCTCCTTCCATGACAGAATGTACAGGATGCTTAAAAATACAGAAATGGGGCTTTTTAAGTATGAGATTATAGAAACAGTGGGTCACGCAACTGCGTATCACAGAGTATAGAAACAGCAGAAATACTTCTGAACCCACCTATTTCATTTCCTTTGGAGAACTCAAGATTCTCAGGGGATTTTGAGCCCCTTGTTGGTGTCTGGGGGTGAGGGGTCCGTCAGACCAAGCACATGGTTTTCTGGATTCCCGTGACCCTCCACTTTCCATGTGTGCAAGCAAGATTCACTCCTTGTTTAAAAAGGAAGATTCACTCTTTCTTTAAAAAGGAAGGGCCTTAGGAGGAAGGGGCTACAAGACTGAATGGCATCAGGAATAGCCGACTAAATTTCTCTCACCAAAGGCCCAGGGTCAGAGACCTTTGCTGAAGTTGCTATTCCAGTAAGGAAGCTTTATGTCGAAGTTTCCCATTGTTTGGAAAGGGAGGGCCCTAGGTGAGTGAGGATAAAGAAAGGAGGGTATATTTATTGAACACCTAACATATGCTGAATATTGATGCTATCATTTCATTTTCATCTGTTATGAAACAGATTCTATTATCCCCCTGTTCCAAAGGAAAGAGAGGCTGGTGGCTTAGTAACTTGCCAGGGTGAACAATCAACTAACAGAAACGAGGTCTGCCTGATTCAAAGCCCTCCTCCGTCCACTGTCACTGTAAGAAGAGAGAAGACCAAACACGGGAAAGGCAAAAGTCATGTAACTTTCTGTGTCAGAGCTTCCTCATTTTAAAATGGGGATAACAGTACTGAGCTCACAGGGTTGTTATAAGAATTAAATGAGATAATATACACAGAGCTGGAACATAGTAAAGTTTAAAAAGTTTACCTACTTTTTTCTTCTCGGCCTGTCTTTTCTTTCTCACATCATTTTTTCAAATTAATAAGAAAACATCCATCTACTAAGTCTGGCAGATATTCAACAATGGCCATGCACAAAAAAGATAAGCACGGTCTCTAGAAACACCTCATCATTTTGGACTACGGTAATTGTTGACTACTGGGAGTGACCCTTCCTACAAACCTGTGGAAAGCTTGTTAACTGGGCAGTTATCTGGACAGGATGGGGCTGATTATATGCGACTACTTTGTATACAATGGAAATTTTAGAATGATATGCTAGCACCATTTTTTTTATACTAGTGCTTTTAGATGTTGACCTTGGTCTATATACATAATTTCCTTCCTGAAACATAATGTGTATATTCCATTTCAAGTAACTTCTGCCTTGACCAAGACAAAGAAAATGCCCAGGTGAGTAGTCAGGAAGCCTTCGAATGAGCACAATCTAACTTATCCTTTGTCTAGAGGAAGAAAGTTAAAATATGTAGCTTCAAGCATCACTTGGGTTCTGTCCAGCTTCATGTGTCTTGGCTTACTGAACTCTTGAGCAGAATACAAGAAGGGAAATCTTTGACAGTTTTATGTCTGAAGGCTAATGGGCCATATTCAATGATGAATATTAAATGCAAGAACAGGACAGAACGAGTTTAGTCTACTTTGCCACCGTGTATCCAAGCTTCTCCTTTGAGTCAACTGAGTTTTCAACAAACGCGTAGTCCTTAGAAAGAGGAGACAAACACCAGAACACAAAATTCCCGGGTCAGCGTTTGGTGCGGGAGTACGTATACACAAAGTTAGGAGCACTGTTTTCCACCCCTTGGGTTTCATGCTAATAGCAGTGTAAGACAAAGACATTATTGCTCTCAGTGGATGTCAGTTTTCTCCCCACCAGGCAGATCACTGCGTTATTTCCCACATGATTTCTGAAGGAAACCAACGGAACTTACATTGCACAATGTGTGAGACCAAGAGGGCAGCGCTGGTGTCACTACACATCAGCCTGCCTTGAGCCAGGTCCTGCTTCACCTGCAGAGCAAACAGGTACCTGCGGAAACGAAGAGAGACGGGCGTCAGACACACAGACATGGGTGTCAAGCAAAGAGGGTGGGGAGGTTTGGCAAGAAACTCAGGCTCACTTTGCTCACTGGCAACTTGCCCACACAGTGAGGACCTAAAGAAATATAAGCCAAAGAACAAGAAAGTCTGCACAGGAAGGATGAATTCCTGGTGCTACTGGCTGCAATGTAAATATTCACACCTCCCTTCAAGCACCGGGAGACATATGCTGCAATCTTTCCACACAATGAGTAATGCATTTCATTTTATATGGAGAGATACAGCCATAAGTAATTAAGACTATAACTTACCACCCTATTTTTGCAGGGTATAGCACACATTTAAAATTTTTTCACAGATCAGTCGAATATACTATAAAAATGGCTTTATGGCTCAGACAATAACAGTAGGCTATCATGGTTAGGAAGAGCCTTGCCAATGGAACTGGAAACACAAGAGTGGCTTTTTTTCGGGAGCACAGGCTCCGGATGCGCAGGCTCAGCGGCCATGGCTCACGGGCGCAGCCGCTCCGCGGCACATAGGATCTTCCCGGACCGGACCACGGCAGGCGGACTCTCAACCACTGTGCCACCAGGGAAGCCCAGATTTTTAGAAAGATATTTGCTAGTTTTGCCCACTGTCTAGAAGGAGCGTGACTTCGGCAGCAACCTTTAGCAACCAGATTCTGGCTCTCACACAACTACCCATGAGAAGGATACAGAGGTAGGACCTTGCAGAAATGGTAGGTTCCAGGTGTGGGGCAGAGGAAGGTACAAAGCAAGCCTGGAAGATCTAGTTATGCCAGAGAGCAAGGCAGCTTGCAAATATAAATGGGTTATATTAAAATGGGGGAAAAAAAACCTTGAAGGGGCGGCCACTGGCCAAAGTTGTGACAACTTGAGTAGCAATAAAGAATGATTAAAGTGAACTGAAACACATGGAACTAATAAAACTTTATGAGTCCATTATAATAGTCATAAAAATAGAAAGCAGAAAAAGTAGAATGTATCACCATTTGAGGAGTCTATTCAAGAAATTCTTTTTTAGGAAACTGGTAACCCAAGGCAAAAACTTGGGCATGTAATCTGCCTCTCCAGTAGGAAGGGTATTTCAGGATATACAGACAATCTAAGTAGATGGGGCAAAGTTCTACTTTACAGAAGAACACGGACAAATAACACAGCAAAAATAACATAATTATAAAACCCTCATCCCACACCTCTAAAGAAATTACTGACTTGGCAAGGATTGTTAATCAGTATAAAAACCACTTGGGAGTTTGGACATTTGCATACAAAGTCATATGACTTTCCGTCACAATGGCAAGGTCAGAATGTCACCACCCTTAACTCAGTGATCAATCTCAGCATCGCTAATGAAACAGGGAACACACGACATCACTTAGGATGGGATTCTAGCCAAGAATGTTTAACTTGTATCCTTTAGAACTAAGGTCTAGTTGGCAGGAAATACAGAAGACAGAGGAATAAGCTAAACAGGAGGCAACCAGACAAATTTAGCAGGTAGCTTTTTTTTTTTTTTTTTTTTGCGGTACACAGGCCTCTCACTGTTGTGGCCTCTCCCGTTGCGGAGCACAGGCTCTGGATGCGCAGGCTCAGAGGCCATGGCTCACGGGCCCAGCCGCTCCGCGGCATGTGGGATCTTCCCAGACCGGGGCACGAACCCGTGTCCCCTGCATTGGCAGGCGGACTCTCAACCACTGCGCCACCAGGGAAGCCCAGGGCTTATTTTTTTAAAGAAGATGTTGGGGATAGGAGTTTATTAATTAATTTATTTATTTTTGCTGTGTTGGGTCTTCGTTTCTATGCGTGGGCTTTCTCTAGTTGTGGCAAGCGGGGGCCACTCTTCATCGCGGTGCGCGGGCCTCTCACTATCGCGGCCTCTCCTGTTGCAGAGCACAGGCTCCAGACGCGCAGGCTCAGTAGTTGTGGCTCACAGGCCTAGTTGCTCTGCAGCATGTGGGATCCTCCCAGACCAGGGCTCGAACCCATGTCCCCTGCATTAGCAGGCAGATTCTCAACCACTGCACCACCAGGGAAGCCAAAAAAAAGGGCTTTTAACACGACTAACCATAGAGGTGGCCTTAAGAATTAAATGAGATAATACACGGAAAGCATAGTGACCAGAATGAAAACATTCAGTATATGTTAGCAATTATTTTTTTAAATAAAAGAAAAATGAATCCCCTTTAAGTCGTTTAGGAAATTCCATGATTAAGAACTAAAGAACTACAGAGACATTCTGTAACCAGAAACAAAACAAAACAACACCCACAGATCCACTAGTTGACAACAGTTGACCTTTATCCACCCCCCCAATGTAATGTTTATTCATTCATTCATTCACTTTCTTTTCTCTCTCTGTCTCTGTCTCTCTCCTTGGAAAGTCAAAGTAGAGAATGGCAGAGCATATAAAGTAATCACAACATCAGCACATAGGTTTATATGGGAAGATGTGGTACAAACCGTATCTCTGGATTAGGCAGTGGTTATTGTTTCTTGAAGCCAACACTTAGAACGACAGGCTTTAATTCTTATCTGTGTGGTTAGTTTTTACCTAAGTAGGAAGAACGTATGTTTTAAAAGCATGATGTTTCGAATATGGTAACAGCTACCAGTTCAAATACAGGATGCTGTGTCCAGGGACAGACTCAGGGTCAGGGTCCGCCAGGCTTCGGGGCCTCTGGGGAGGGTCTCCTGTGGGTGGCGACACGGCGCTGGGTTCCGAGAGCTCACCTATTTAGACAGAGGACGAGTGCCCCGTTGCCAACTGCAGGAGGACTTTGTCACTCCCTCATTACGCTGACTTGTGCTAAGGCCCTTGTAATCTGAGAAAGACCTTCCTGGGTACCGTCTCATCTTCTCGTAAAGACAGCTGTAAGTCCCGCACGCTGGCTGCAGGGCTAACTTTAGAAATTCCGCAGCACCTTTTACATTCTAAACTGAAGCAGCTCCAATCAAATTCACATGAAGGGCTCAAAACGGAATCAACTCTCCTTGGAGGAAGGATGGATGTGAGGAGGGAGGCGATGACAGCGGCAGGGCCAATCAGAGGGCTGTCACTTCCAGGGACCACAGGGCAGGAAATCACACCCATCTCGATGCCATGGTTTAAACATGCCTGTTTCAATTTATTTCACCCGGGAGCTCTTCGTCTTTCTTTCCTTATTCAGTGTACAGTACGACGTCTCTGGCAGCCAGAGGGCAACACTGCAGCAGGCCCCACAGAGCAGCAAATTCTGATAGGTCCCTGCACCTTTACGAACACAGCCAAGTAGAAACTGGATCCCACGTCAGATGCGACGCTCAGAGAGTACTGGAGTACGTCTGACCTCACCAGCACAGCCTAGTGATTCTGAGCTCTGCCAGAAGAAAGCCTGCTAACTTCTTTTCCAAAGACCCCTCCCCCAAGCGGTTTTAAACTTGCATCTGGGAGTCAGTACTTTTCTCCTTCTAGATGCCAGAGCCCTGGTGTCAGTAGGACAAGAGCTCCAGTGAGAGGGTAGTTCAATAAATAGAAAGGAATTCAGCTTCTTGTTTAACAGCAAAGTGCAATTTAATCTTCGATCTATATAAATGGGAAGCCGAAAGCTATTCCTGGAGGCCCGAAAAATCAGCTGTAGCTCCAGTCACTTAAAGTCTGCTGAACTGCAGGCCCGTTTCTCTGTCTCACTCTTGTCTGCACCTCCTTCGCCTATGAAGCAGTGTCCATATAGGGCTTCTCCCAAACGCTCCCTCCTTCACCATCTGCCATAGAAAACTGCCTGGCATCCCAATGGTCCCATCCTTACATTTCTGCTTGAATAGGAATTTGAGAGTGTGGGAGAACACCACTTTGGATCTGGGAAGTCGCCTTCCCGGCATACCTTGTGACAAAGCGGAAAGCAACGGGGAGCTTCTAAACTTCCTGTCAATTTTATCACCCCAGAGCCAAAAGAATTCTCTCCTCGGAAAAGATTTCTAAAATGTCAGTTAACACTGGGAGCCAGAAAACAGCGACAACAAACCCCCAAACCTGCTACGTCCAGCTGAGCTTGTGTCACTTGAGGAATTTATCAGATCGGTCGGAACAGCTGGCAAAATACCAGGCACACACACACGGCTTGATGCTCACAAGTTGTCTGGAATTTTATAACGAGGACCAGAATGGTAGAAAATCACAAATCTCTAGAGATGATGATTCACAAAAACTGAAAAGGTGCAAAACTCATTGAAAAGTAGAATGGGGAGAAAGGACTGGGGTTGGGGGGCAGTGGTAATTCATGCCGCCGACTTCCTAAGCAGGATGACGGCCCAGTGAAATGCGGGAGGAAAAGGCACGCTACTGACCAACGGCTAGACTGGCCTTCAGATTCATTTCAATATTCTGAGCTTCGAGCAACATACATTCAACAACAGGAAACCAGTCCCAGAAGCTGAGACACGGTAGCTCCAATAAGGACACGGCACGAAGATGCTACTGGTGTCGGCAGCTTGGAACTCAGGTGGCAGCCCCAGCTGCCCCTTCTCCACGGGAGGCTTGTGGTTCCCAGAAGGCTTACGGCCCTCTGCAGCTCCTGGCCACTTAGCTGCTTCATTCATTTGAGGGATGAAAGTGGAGGTAAGCTATCAGCGGTGACTCATTCAGAACACGCGAAGCCATGGGAAGAGTCTTCGCCTTCCTCTCTTTCTGGAATCGCACATTCATGTACCTGGTGCCCCTCCTGACGCAGCCCTGGGATGTCCAGCAGGGACCTCAAACATGATCTGGCAAAACCAAACCCTTGACTCTCCACCCTCCCCAGTCCTCTACTTCCCTCCACCCCTTCGCATTCTAGTCGTCACCCATCCATCTAGTTGCTGCTTAAGTCAAAATCTTAAGCATCCCTTCTCCTTCCCTCAGCCTCCACCCACAGCCCGTCACAAATTCAAATCGACCCCGCCTCCAGCACGTGCTCCAAATGCACGTGTTTTCTCCATTTCCACTCCTACCACCTCCGTTGCCGCCATCATCTTGGCCTGGGTGACTGCCATCTCTTCCTGTCATCCTCCCCTCGGTATCTCTGGCAACCAGTCTCTCAACACTATGTATATTGGGCCTCTGCCCCACCTCAGTGCACTTCACCCTCAATGTTCCTGCCATGAGAACCCTCTTTTAGGTAACTGAACGTCTGGGGCTTGTTTCTGCCTTGGGCACTGCCTAACCGTTCCTTCTACCTGGAGAGCTCTTCCTCTGAAAATTACTGACAGATCCTTGTCACTTTCTCAGCCCAAGCACCCCAGACCAAGCACTGTAAAGTCATCACCAGTCACCTTCTATCACATCATCTACTCCCATTACCTAAAGGCTCTTACGATTATCTGATATTTTGCTTGTTTATTTAATCATTGTGTCTGTTCCCGTGAAAGTCAGGCCGGTCTCTTCACCAGTATGCTCCCCGTTCCTGGAACAAGGCTTGCACACCACGTATACTCCATCAATACTGTTGACCAAATGTTTTCATCTCTTTGATAAGTGACGAACCATTTAACAAACTCAACCACCCAAAATACTGGGCTCTCAACCCAGAGGGACAAGAAAGATGTGACAGCCCTCATCTTGAACAGCTGAAGCTGGAAAGGCATGTGCGGCAGGAATCTGGCTGGTCAGACTAGTGCAGTGTAGTCCTGAAAGGGAGGCGTTTTATCTTCGCATGTTCCCACCAGGCTCTGCTCTCTTTTGGAATACCACGTGTCTTGCTGTCAATTATAAAATGGGTAGTAGCAGGGATGAAGATGCGGACGGTGGTGATGAGGATGATGGAGGCTGTCACTCAGAGCATCCCTGCTGGGTTCCGGGCACTCTATGCATACGAGTACTCATCCTCAAAACCACGCTGGCCAAGCAAGCACTGCGGTCGCGTTGACACGGGCACTAACAGAGGTGCAGGGGCGTTTGGTAACCGGCTGGTCACACAGCTACCAGGGGCAGGGCTTGGCCACACTCCTCCCACTTGGCCACACCTTCAAAGAAACTGACGTACAGTTTATGTCGATTCACCCACTGCAGCAACAGAGAGAAACTGAGTTCACATCTTGGTTTCACAGAAGAGATTCATCTCCCAAAACTGTCTTGTGATGTGACAGGTATAAGAGGGGGAAATACGACAGTAACAGATTATAAGCCCAGATACTTCATAGCACAGCCTTCGAGGAACCAGCTTTCAGGGAAACTGTGGTACTTTCTTTCTTCCCATGTTTGTAAACACAGCTGGGAGGGAGGAAGGTTAAACTGTCAAGCACAGAGCAGATGCTGGTCAAGGAAACATTGGGAAAATGTTTCATCAGTTGACTTAGAACATTCACTCTCTCCGCTCCACAGCAATAAATACCCAGTTTCCAAACCACTAACCTTGTGAGTTCTTCTTGGAGTTGTGTGTGGTCAGGTGGAAAGAATTTCACCACAAACTTAACAACGACATGCTTTGGCCCTAGAAGGGGGGGAAAAAGCAGTAAAGCATTTATTGATTTGTCTTTCAAATGCCATTAAAGATGTACGAGGGTATATTAGATACCAAATAATAAGTCTTATTCCGAGCTGCCCAGAGCACTTCTGCCAACATCCAAGCCACTTAATAGCTGGTTACGTTGGTTACTAATTCCCCTTTTCCTATTGTGGGGAGACAGACACCTGTTTGGGTATTTCTTAATTATAATTTTTGGCCACACCGCACGGCATGTAGGATCTTAGTTCCCCGACCTGGGATGGAACCCACGCCCACTGCGTTGGAAGCACAGAGTCTCAACTACTGGACCCCCAGGGAAGTTCCAGATACCCGGTTTTTAAAAAATACTGTGACAAGGCACATTACATTGAGGCATCAAACTTTTCCCCTGGAGACGTAAACTGTACCCAGATTTTAAAAGCACGCATTTGTCTTCAAAAATTTATCTGTCTGCTTTAGTCCAAATACAGGCTTTAGACAGCTTAAGGAAGAGATAACGAAAAGGTAAATCAGTTACATAATTTCTTATTTCTAACTCTCTCCAAGGTACAGCGGCTACTGTGTTCATCACAGTCAGTCAAAGCCTTTACTAAGTGTCTCATACACCATCTTATCGATAAGTTCCAACGAAATTAGGAAGCAGATCTGGGAGGGGGTGGGCAGGGCAAGACTGGGAATGAGACAGGTAACTTTCCAGAATTCAAAGAGAACATCAAATAGATTATAAAATAATAATTTGTAACCTGAGTCAGAGTTTATTTTGCTGTATAAGCCACGATACAAAAGCAATCTTACAGGTTCTGCCATTTGGAATAACAGCAAAAGTTTATGTTCTATGAAATACATGGTATTATGATGAAATCCAAATTTTAACAGCAGTTGTATAAAAGTAAAAAATGTCTTTTTTGCTCTACCTTTCACCATCACAAAAGATGTTGTACTTTAATTTTTATAACGCACTCAAATTTAGGGAAAAAAACCCCAAATGGTGTATCATAAGATGAAGATGTTGGCGATACGTACAAAATTAGGAGGAAAAAAAACAAGGCACAGGGATACTGAAACCAAGAGAAGCCAGGCTTCTTTCCGCTGACCATTCTAAAAATTAACAGAAATCCTCGCGTGTCAATTCTGGATCACAAAATAGCAAGAACAAAATGGGGAAGATGGGAAGGTCTAGCTCATTCTTCCCAGCAATTTTCACAGATGGGGAATTAAATGAGGCTACTTGGATCCTTAGAAAACCCGAAGCTAGGAAGATGCTAGCACTAAATGCAAAATGACAGCTTTGTCACACGGGGCGAGTCCTAGCCCACAGAGATGAAAAGGAGAGCCTCTGCTCTGGTGCTAAACCAAACCACAGCCGCTGTCCTGGGTCTGACACTTTTCCACCATCAGCAGCTCCCATCGCGGGTTACTGCGGGAACAAATGTCATCATTTTAGATGCTGTGCTTCCTCCAGCCTTCAGGCCTGGCGGCTTCTCACAGCAATGTGTCCTCCACACTTAGTCCTAGGCCAGCCACCCAATAAACGCTGAACAACGGCTGTTTTGTTTTCTGCGTTAATGATTGCTTAATTTAAATGACAGAAGATCAATATCAATTTCAACTGCATAAGGGCCACTCAACACAGTGTGCCTGTTTATTACAGCCACATAAATTGCTGTAAGTAGCCTGGTGGGGTTTCTTTTCTTTAAATAAACTTAGTTTATTTATTTTTGGCTGTGCTGGGTCTTCGTGGTGGTGCGCGGGCTTCTCACTGCGGTGGCTTCTCGTGTTGCGGAGCATGGCTCTAGTTGCGCGGGTTTCAGTAGTTGTGGCACTCAGGCTCAGTAGTTGTGGCTCGCAGGCTCTAGAGCACAGGCTCAGTAGTTGTGATGCACGGGCCTAGCTTCTCCGCTGCATGTGGGATCTTCCCGGACCAGGGCTCGAACCCGTGTCCCTTACACTGGCAGGCGGATTCTTAACCACTGCACTGGTGGGGTTTCTTAATCAGACTTAAAACCGACCCCAAGAGGTATTGTGTGATTTTTCAACTAAAGGAATGCAGTTTTGTTACCATCCTCAGTCTCTTGCCTGGTCTCTGGCTGCAGTGAGGGACAATTTGGGATGAACTGGAGAAGAGAGCTTGTCTCTTAACTTGACCTCACAGCGGAGAGAAGGGAGGATGGTCTGGTGCTGACGCACAATGAGAAGGAAGGAAAAAAGCAAGTGCTCCCTTTCCTTACTTCTCTCCTAGACCCTACGTTATCTTTCCTTCGACAACACGGTCTAAATGCAAAGCAGACTCCCTTCTGTCCTGCTTGCCAATCTCACACACACACACACACACACACACACACACACACACACGCACACGCACACACTCACACACTTTTGCGTACCTTATTTTTCCAAATACCACTTGCATTCTGATCTCACAGGCTTTGAAAAGGCAGCACAGAAAACCTAATAGCAATTTTATGAATAAATGGTTCCACCCCCCCACCGCCTTCCAAAGTGACAGTAAGAAACATGAGCACAGACCGGACGAGCTCAGCTGCTCTGGGCCTCAAGAGCCTGCTTTAGTCTTAATTAAAATGACGTTTGTTTTCCAAGTTTTGATTACCAAATTGTTATATATTAAAATTGCAGAAGATACATTTAATAGTACGTGGATTAGTGGATGCTGAAACGCAATCACGGGGTAAAAAAAGAAAGTATGGCCCCAGTGCTTGACACCACAGGGCAGGCGACGCCTAGACAAGGAAGACATCCGGCTTTATATTTGACATCACTGTTAAACAGGCGGGGGTGGGGTGGTGGGGTGGGGGTGGGGGGTTATACTTACTTCTAATCTGCTTGACAATAGGTTTTAAGAGATCCAGCCACACCTACAAAGGAAAAGAGAACAGACTGAGACATCAATTCTCAATGAGAGAGTGCAAGTATTTTGAGACTCCACTAGGAGCTGTTTAAAATCAAAATATTTTTGAGGATTTGAAGCGGTCTGTGCCTTTTTTTTCCCTCCAGAATGCCATAACTTACATTGTCTCCCATGTTTATAGAACGGATCTGAACGTGCTAATATTATCCCTGAGCTTGAAAATTAAAAACTTCTCCCAGATGCAAATAGTGCCCGGTTCACTAAGAATTTTTCTATTCTCACTGGTACTTTGATCACAGTTAGCTATTCAGTAAATATTAACGCGTGATTGCACATCTGGCTATAAATGGAGTAAAATATGTGTGCTCCTTAGTGAAACAAAATCCATGTACATAGATGTACGTACAGAACAGCACATCTTTGAGGGGTACGGAAAGGGAGTGAATATTTATAGAACATACTTTTGCACAAGGCTCCATCCATAAGCTATTTACCTCTCAGAGCAAGGCGAGAGGATTCTTGTTAGTCAGGAGAGAAATCTGAGACTTGGAGAGGCTCAATAATTTGTCCCAGGCCCTCAGCTAGAATGTGGCAGAACTAGGACTGAAATCAGGTTTGTCCCACTTCAAAGTCCAGACTCTTTTCACACACATTCTCCTTAGCATGCAATTCAAGCGGCAAAATTTTAAAAGAAGAGAGAAACCAGTTGTCATTAATAAGGTATAAGTTAACCCTTGAACTTGTGATCATGTGAAAGGGTTCTACTGAAGCTCACATTTGCATATATGATTTTTAAAAAGTTAATGGGCTTAATGTAAAGAGGGTTTTGTAAGTAAATATGAAAAAGAGAAACACTCCTAAAGAAAATTATGCAAAGAATAACAGGTAATTGGTGAAGAAAAAATGCCAATGGCTAACAAGAGAATGTCCAAGTTCAGGAGTAACTTGCACTACAAATGCAAATTTAATCAAATACCATTTCTATCCATTAAATACGCATCTAGATATGCAGTGCATGTCTGTATTTCATAAACCCAGATGTGGCAAGGGTGCCAGGAAGCGGATACTGCCCTACGCTACTGGTGCATGTATGAATTGGCACAACGTTTCTGGAGACCAATTAGGGAATAATCATCTAAAGCCTAAAAAGTATCCATATACATACTCTTTCATCCCGTAATTTGACTTCTGATGAATTATTTGAGAGTGTGGGAAAATGTGTTTGGGAGGTGGGAAGATGGGTGATTTCTTCTTTTCTTCTGCCTTTCTGTATCATCCAAATTACCTTCAATGATCACTCAGAATTCTCATGATGAAAAAAATAAAAGTAAAAAAATTTAAGTGTCTATTTATTCAGGTTCATCTTCCCCACCACCGTTTCAAATAAATATGATTTTCTAATGAAATTCTCATTTCTATACTCCCTGTCCCCTGCCACTCTGTTATATGAGAAAAACAATAAAGGCATTAGTTGACTTAGGATCATCTCCACTGTCAATTCATAAGACTCAACCTTAAAATGAGAGAGAATAATCATTCAAAACAACAATCGTCGTTTGTGAGATGAATTATTTTTCTCCCAAGAATCCTAAACGATGGCAAAAATATCTCCATTTGACAGATGAGAAAAGTGGGATTCAGACCATAGCTGCCCAGGGCTGGGACTCAAACCCTGTTCTTCAAACCCATTTATTCATTCAACAACACATCACTGTGTCGCTCTGCTGGGTTCTGGGAATACAATGATGGGAGACCAATCATGGTGCCTGCTTCATGGAGCATATGGTCTAGTGAGAAAGACAGGAAACAAAACCTTCCCAAGAAAGGTAAAGAAGTACCTGAGACAAAGGAAACAAGGGGGAGTCCCAGAAGACTCTGAGTGTCAGGATAGAGAGATTTGACCCAGTTACAGGTGGGGTAGAGGCAGGAGGAAGCCTTCCCTGAAGGTGACATTGTGCTGAAATCTGAAGAGAGGTGAGAAGAAGCTATGAAGACATGCAGTAAAAACACATGTCCAGGTCACTTAACATTAGGGGAGACCAACATGACAGCAGAACAAGGTTGGTGGGTCAGGAAGGGGCCAGACCCTACAGAGGCCACGTTAAGACGCTTCATCATTATCCTGAGAATACTGGGAAGAATTTTAAATATGGGGCTGATACGATCAGATTTGCACTTTGAAAGGATTATGCTGGCAGTGTGAGAACAGAAAGAGGGAGTCAGAATAGACGCAGGTTATCTGCTGCAGTCGTCCAGGCAAGAGAAGATGGTGTTTTGGACCAGGAGGCAGAAGCAGAGTTGGGGAAAATTAGGTGGAATCAAGAAAAACGTAACATGGACTTCCCTGGTGGTACAGCGGTTAAGAATCCGCCTGCCAATGCAGGGGACACGGGTTCGAGCCCTGGTCCGGGAAGATCCCACATGCTGCGGAGCAACAAAGCCCGTGTGCCACAACTACTGAGCCTCTGCTCTAGAGCCCGCACGCCTAGAGCCCGTGCTCTGCAACAAGAGAAGCCACCGCAGTGAGAAGCCCGCGCACCGCAATGAAGAGTAGCCCCCGCTTGACACAACTAGAGAGAGCCCGCGTGCAACAACGAAGGCCAAACGCAGACAAAAATAAATAAATAAAATAAATTTTTTTTAAAAAAGAAAGAAAGAAAAGAAAAATGTAACAGGTAAAATCCAGTGGGATTTACCGATGGGCTAGATGTGGTGGCCGAGAAGGAGACAATAACCAGAATGATGACACTGAGATTTCTGCCGTAGGCACCTGGATGGATGCTGCTGCCAATGAGAGACAGGGAGTACTGGAAGAGGGCCAGGACGGAGGGGTTCTAGACACTTTCATTTTAAGAGGTGCCCTTGGATTTCATGAGGAAGAAACAGTATGAAAATGGTGGGACACGCTCATCCAAAGCTCAGAGGAGCCTGGGCGGGAGATCTCACATTTAGAGGCTCCATGGAGCACTGTGACTCCATGAGCACAAGACGGCCTCGTGGAGCCCAGAGGATGAAACGCGTCAGCACTGATGACGCGTCTACCTTAGAACGGCCGACGGGAGCAGACAAGGACAGTAGGAACGTAAGGAGAGAGTCATGTCACGGCAGTCACAGGAAGACAGTGTTTCCAGAAGGAAGAACATCAAGAGCTGTTGAAAGATCAAACAAGATGAGAGCTAGAGTATCTGCTGGTCAGTGGACCTGGAGAGGGGTCTGAAAGTCTAGTGGACGGTGAGGAGACAGGAAGGATGAACAGCTTTTCCAAGAAGCTTGGCTGTGAAGGAAGAGGCCAGAGAATGGGTGTGTGGAGGAGGGGGAAGAATCAAATAAAGGTACTGTTGGGGCTTCCCTGGTGGCGCAGTGGTTGAGAGTCCGCCTGCCGGTGCAGGGGACGCGTGTCCGTGCCCCGGTCCGGGAGGATCCCACGTGCCGCGGAGTGGCTGGGCCCGTGAGCCATGGCCGCTGGGCCTGCGCGTCTGGAGCCTGTGCTCCGCAACGGGAGAGGCCACAACGGTGAGAGGCCCGTGTACCGCAAAAAAATAAATAAATAAAATAATAAAAGTACTATTGATTTGCTTGTCTTCCACAGGAAGGACCTGGGGGTGCTTAAAAAGGGGAGGGGTTGGGACTTCCCTGGCGGTCCAGTGGTTAAGAATTTGTACTTCACTGCAGAGAGCAGGGGTTCAATCCCTGGTCAGGGAACTAGGATCCCGCATGCCACGTGCTGTGGCCAAAAAAAAAGGCGGAGGGAGGTGTTGAGAGTATGAGTAAGAAGATAACCAATATCCTAAGACACCTGGGATGGTGCGGAAAGATAGCTCTAAAACATAGGGCACTGGAGACAGAAAGAAGAGCTCTTCCAGCAGCGGCAGGGAGGGAGCAGAAAGGCTAATGGTAGATGTACGTCAGTTTACACTTCTGCACCGGGAAGATAAGACAGTTCCTCTTTGACACCATCCGTTTACCCCTGTAAAACCTGAGGGTTGGAGGATGTGGGCGAGTGGAGAAGAGTTGACACAGTTGTGTTTGTGTGCGAGAGAATTAACCGAAGAACTCTAGAGGGATTTCCTGTAGCTACTGAGCGTCCACTCGTGAGCCTGCCAGCCTGTGCTCTGTCGGCCTCCAAGCCTGCCTCAGGGGGAGCACCTCTGAGGTCTTCCACCACTGCCAATTCTGCCCAGAATCTGCCTAAGCATCTACAAACCACTCAGGACCAAACAGATGCGCTCTGGCAACGTAGCAGCCAATTTCATGAATTGTTTTAAAACATCTCTCTCCTGTCTTTGGCATTTCTGTGGAATTCATCAAATACAAGCACCAATTTGAGCCAACCGAGCATGTGGTTTTTAAACCATGAAGGCCTGGGAACATCACACTGGCCTGAATTAGTCTGTCTAGTACAGTTCTACGGCAATAACGCTCCAAGGCATCGGTTACGTCACAGCTAAACTGGCCTGCGTGAGAACGCGGGGCCCACAAGACCCTCTCCATTTACCAGTCAGATTGATATTTGCAGAGCTGAGGGGAAAGGCCTTGCATGCTAAGGACTTAAACCACTAAAAAAGGATGAGCTGGAGGGAGCAGGAAGAAAAAGAGGGTTGCTGCTCGACTAAAGGGCTGAAGTTCGTCTAGGTCATCCTAGACAAATCACTTCTTCATTCGACCTAAGCAGAACAGAAACAAGTTCCAGATGAATTAAAAAGGCAACAAAAGCACCATAAACTTTCTTTTCCTGCCAACGGATCTCTGGAGGGTCACAACTATAATCATCCATCTCTAACCTCAGCCCCGCAACTCCTTCAACCAAGCCACACATTCCTGTTCTTACGAAAATCATGCTGCCGGCCTCCAGAGCACGGCTACAGATCCACATTACCTGACTGTAGAGGGATTTGGTTAAAACGAACGGGCTTCTAGAAATGCCACACCTAGTCAGGAGGACTCACGGAATCAAGGAACTTCCCCTGCTGGGATTTGAAGGCCTATAAGTAAGAGTTTGCTCAAGCT